ATAACAATTTTAATTTGTTAATTAAATTTTTATTACGTATTTATTTGTACGATAAAGTTTAAATATCATTTTATCAAATACTACTGAAAGTTTTTTCAATTGATTTTATTATCAATTGATTTGTTTTATATTTAGGCTTTTGTTTCCAATTATTGAAACATCAGGAATATATTAAAATATTGCATCAATATTACACTTAAATGCATATGAATGTAAGTTAGCTGCATAATAATAAATACAAACCCTGTTATCGTTGAACATTGCGTTCCGTATGACTGCATACAGAGCGCCCCACGATGTGTGCTATTCTTAAATGCAACTTCACATCGCAACGTCGTGTCCTAAGCATCACCACCGAGTAGCGATAGTAGCAAAATCAATAGATTGTTGTCTCTGATACGGGCTGAGCATTGGCTATGAAGTGTGTCGGTTGTACCAAAATGTAAACCACGGACTTATCTCACAACCAACCAGCGCGATAGCGGCATCACCCGCGCACCACTCTACTACTTGCGTGGTACACAGGCTGAACACAGAGGCACATTAAGTACAATATTATGTGCAAAACAGAATTGCGCATGTACAATGAGTGAGCCATGTTTTCTTTATTGAACGATCGTTTTTCATCGCACACTCAACACAATTTGTGCACCATGTGCCTCTGAAACAAAGGACAACCAGACTGATTAACATAAATTACAAGATGCCCACACATTATTACTAACGCACTTCCTATATTCCAATCCTTGCTCTCAATTCTTTAACACAAGCACATAACATCTTTTCTTTTTATTTAATGAAATAGATTGCATTAGTACATGCTTAATGAAGCTTACAAAATAATTAAAATGAATAAAAAATCATGTATACTTTTTAAACTATTTGAAAGTTAATATTTGAAACGCAAATTAAATTATAATTTAAAATGTTTAAAAAGTATCTTCCCTAGTTAATGAAATAAATAAAACAAAATCTATTATAACAATTTATATCTCATATAAACATAAATTCTATTTATATTTCTATACAAAATGTATATTTAAATATAACTGAAATTAAAAGAAGTTATGATACATATATCAGCTAACTAATGCCATCTATTTAATACACTAAGCTTATGTAAAGTTTGAGAATGTGCACTAAAATTATTTTTATTCTATGTTAATCTTGCAGTATGACTTTACAACGTTAATAATAATCAAATTCTATAGAATATAACACTGTTGAAAAGTTGTATTTCGTTATTGTTTAACCGTTTTCTTCTTTCTTAATTAGCATGATACGTTATTTAATATCAAGTACTTTTATTTTAAAGATAGTGAGGCATCATCTTCATATAACCAGTCTGTGCTACATCGCCACTTTATCCTACCCCTTTTTGAATAAGTATAAATTTTCGCAAATGCAATTTATCTACAGGTCAATGAATTCTTCAAAATCTAATGTTTTAATAAAAATAAGAAATATGAAACAAACAATTCTACTACTTACCCAATCCACGAGCAGCAACGTCTGTTGCTACAAGAATTGAATCCTTATTCCTCCTAAATTCTAAAATTTAATAACAATATTTTAAAACAATGTACCAAAAATATAACAAAATATAATTTAAAAAAGTCAATAACAAACCTGCAAGAACAAAATCTCTTTCTAACTGTGATTTGTCGCCATGTATGCATACTGCTGGCCAACCATAACGACGAATAGTTCTAGTGATACTCTCCACCTTTTTCTTTGTCTCTACAAAAATTATTGTCTTCCCACCTTCTGGATTAATACTACTAATTTCCTGAAGAAGATTTTCCAATCTAAAACAGAAAAAGACCATTAAAATCTAAACAAAATCTGAAATTAAAAGAACTCATTCTGAATAAAAAAAAGATTCAGTTCTTCTTAGAGGATGTTATATGAAATCACAAAATGTCATATACTACTTTCATCACAAAAAATAAAACAAAAATTCAATACTCTCAAAACTAAATGTTTATAAAGTACAACAAATATCAAAATCATAATACATACTTTGATTGTTTTTCATGTTCTTCACAAACATCAACGATCTGAAGAATATTATGATTGGCTGATAATGTTAATGATCCAATGTTCAATTGTGTATAATTTACAAGATATTCCTCTGCTAGATTTCTAACTTCTTTTGGCCAAGTAGCAGACCACATGAGCACTTGCCTGTCTGGTCTGATTTGTTCAATAATTTTTCGTATTTGTGGTTCGAAACCCATATCTAGCATTCTATCTGCTTCGTCTAATACCAAGTATGTACATCTACGTAAATTAGTTGTACCACGTTCCAGAAAATCAATTAATCGCCCAGGCGTAGCAATGCAGATCTCAACTCCTTGTTCCAAATCACGTGCTTGGCTACCTTTTGGTGCACCACCAAAAATACACGTACTTCTCACATAACCAAAAGCATAGGTGACCTTCTGAATTTGTTGTGCCAATTCTCTAGTTGGTGCTAAAATTAGAGCAATTGGTCCATCACCACGATTTAAAGGTTGTTGACTGCTAATATGTACTATTGCAGGTAAAATGTATCCCAAAGTTTTTCCAGATCCAGTTTGTGCTATTCCAACCATATTGTGACCAGACATAGCAATTGGCCAACCTTGAGCTTGAATAGCAGTTGGTTCACTGAAACCTTGTTTCTTAATACATTGCATTACATGTTCAGGGAAATTTCCTTCCTCAAAATGTTGAATAGGATTAGGAACTTTGTCTCCTTTAAGAGTAATTTGATTTTCTTGTCTAAATATATCTACTTCTTCTGGATGACGTGATTGAACATTTGGATGTGGTATATAGAAATCCTTTTTAAAAGGTTTTAAACTTTCGAAGTTCCAATTTGGTTTTTTCAAAGTACCAATAGTACCATTCATATTATTTTTGCTACGATTCTCAAACCGTCCATTTCGATTGGTATTATTATTTCCATATAGGGTCCCTCGTCCCTTAGTACTTCTATAATTCCCACTGTGGTAGGTTGTAGTGAACATAGAGAAACGGCTCCAGACAAAAATGTGTGGATTCCGAAGGCATATTCTCAAATTACTGTCCCTCCCACAAGCATTCATGCTCCATTCATGTATACAAAATGGAGGCATGCCAAAATGAGAGGTACAATGAATAAAAAAAAAACCGTATTTCCATTAAAACTAAATTTAGTTCTTTATTTTATACTACTCTTTTGTAATAGCTGATACTCTGATACAAACCTAAGCCTGAGGGATCCAATGGCTCCCATTACATGTCGTAACCTTCAATAAATCATAACTTCGTTTTTATAAATAATTATTAAGTTTGATCTAGAACGCTTCCCAATTATACAGATTGAAATATTTGTTTAAATATAAGTCAAATACTGAACATCTGGAATACTTATTTTCATAGGAAGAAACTGTTACATAATATTATATCAATAAATTTTTCCAAGGTCACAACACAGGAAATTTAACGGACGCATTGCAAATATTCACGTAATGGCTGATCTCGAACGATTTTGAAGACGACGAAAGCATGAATACTAAATAAAGTAATGCTTCGAAACTTTTTACTACAATATGAAAAACAAGAAAATTTTACTCACATCGTTGAAATGATGATTGATTTTCGGTTCCTAATTACTGTTTCAAGTAATAGTTTATATGAACTACGACAGCGGCAACGAATTCTAAAACCATAATTATTTGATATTTACCGTTTTTTCGATTTATAAAACATACAGAACAATTATAAAGAAAAATTAATTATTAACTATGATACAACAGCTACGTATTTTAAAAGTACAAATTGCGAATAACGAACGAACGTCCTACTTACACCGCCTCCAGGAACAGAAAGAACGATTCACCACGAACCCGGATGTGAAACATACGTTAGTCGAACGTACGCAGAAGTGGGAATGCGCAAAACCTTCTTAAAACCCCATTTTCGTTTTCTGCGCATGTATTCTAGGGTTGATTTCAATTAACTAAGGGCTACAAACAACGTTACTCAAAATAATGTATTATTTGTTACATTTAAACAACTTTTTAATTGCAATTAAATACATATGTTTTTAAAAAAAATAGTATATTTATTTTAAATATTTACAATATCAAGAGTTTTACTTTCAGCTTTCCAATACCGAATATTAATTCTAGTAGTTCATTAGAAATTATCCTGTATAAGATGTTAATTTGACCGCATTATTATTTATTGAAATCAATTTTAAGTATAAATCTGTAATTAAGATTTATTTGAAATTACTTATATTTTCAGCTGAAGAATGAGGTAATACTATTTAATATAACATAAAAAATATGCAATATAATATTCATATCAAAATCTAAATGATATTCAAAATCCCCCGCTTCTTGTGCATTATAAAAAGAAAGGAGATAATTGTAAATTGAACACTTGTAGCAGCAGTGTCGCAGTTCTCCTTAGTCATAAAGAGTTGTACATCTACTTACTGCTATTCTATGGTGCATGCACAATCAGAATCAGTCAGAAAACGTGTGAGTCTATCGCGATCTTGTATAGGCAGTTGTTTGTGGAGTGCGTGCGTTTGATGGGTTACCATTTATGGTGATTCAAGTAACAAGAAAACATTGGTCAAACTTGTGATGTTCTAATAACAGAACGATAGAAGAACTTCTAATTAAAAAGTAAGGTTTCAAAATTGCTTATCCAGCTTTTTTTCGTGGTATTAATATTCGCTTCTTCGTAAGCAAAGTGATAGCACTTTGTAAATATAAAGATGACGGCATCGTCGTGAATGAATAAGCGGTCTGTTTTATATCGTTGATAATCACAGGTGTCGAATATACCTGTAATATAAATGAAAAACATTCTACAACTTTAAAATTAAGAATTATTTCATTTAAATGATATACAAAATACTACTCAAGTTGGAAATTAAAAGCGTGGGAGATTTTGCATAGCCGCACCTCGATTGCTTTTTCTTCCTTCCTTAAATAATTAATTATGTTTTGTAATTATCGTATTTTCTTTTTTGATTAAAAAATTTTTCCATAAACTAGAAAGTATTTAACATAAATCAGATACTGTAAGCATTTATACGTAGAAACAAGCTATTTAACGTTTTGATACTTATCAAAATTAACTAATTTAATTGTTATTTTGAATTAAATTGTAGGAATGGTGTTAAAATAGGGTAACAGGTTGACTTGAGTCACATATGAGTAGTCTGCCAACTAAAGTTTCTGTTATAT